TATTTGAATTTGATTTGATTTGAAATTTCTATATTTGAATTTGATTTGAGTTCAAATATTTGATCAAATCAAATCAATTCAAATCAAATTGCAGAACCCTACAGGTAACTATAGAGGACAGCCTATAGTATTTGTAATTTTCAATTATGAATCAAACTGGAACAATTTAAATTACCAATTCATTTCCATAATTTAGGTAAATTTGATGCCCATCTTATTTCTCAAGCTATGAGGCGAGTAAGTAAAGAAAAGATAAGCGCTATTCCCCATAATATGGAAAACTATCTAAGTCTCGATATTGGAAATCAAAGATATATAGATTCATTACAACTTATGCCTGGATCTCTTGATTCTCATATATCTAATTTAGGAGCTGAACCATGTAAAGAAGAAGTAGATAAAGATGGAAATTCTTTAAACTTACTATGTAAAAAGTCTAGTCATCTTTATCGAATTGACTCTAATAGATGCTTTGCCCATCTAGAGAGGTTTCCAATAGCTAGAGAACATAAACCAAAAGGAAGAGATGATCTAGTATTTCGTAAAGATATTTTTCTATATGATTGGTTTAATACACCAGAAAAAATGTATGCAACTTCTTTATCTTCTATTGAGGAATTTAATAGTATTCTTAATAAATCGAAATGTAGCATAGAAGATTATAAAAGAGTACAAGAAATATAAAAAGCATTTAATATGAAATCATTTCGAGAGTATCATGAATTATACTTAAAACTTGATGTATTATTATAAGCAGATTGTTTAGAAGGATTTTAAAAATTAATAAAAGATAAATTTGGTCTTGATATATCTCACTATGTATCTCTCCCTTCTTTTGCAGAAGTTGCTTTATATAAAACTACAGGACAAGAGATTGAGCTATTTACTGATGATAATATGTATCTCTTCTGTAAGAAAGGTATTCGAGGAGGTATTTCAATGGTAAGTAATCATCAAGTTAAAGCTAATAACCCACAATGTCCTGATTTTGTTCCAGAGTCAGAAGAAGCTATAAAAAAACTCTATACTT